CGGTGGGAGGGCGCCAAGCTGACCAAGGTCTCTTGCGAGCGGTGCGACCTCCGCGCCGCCAGCCTGCACGGCGCCGAGATCCACGCCTCCACCTTCGACAACGCGCTTGCCGCCAAGGCGGACTTCACCGCCGCCCGCATCATCGACAGCTCGCTGCGCGGCGCGAAGCTGAGCATGGCGTCCTTCCGGCAGGCGGCGGCGAGTAGACGCGCCAGGGCGGGGCGGTCTGGAGCAGCTCTCCCGCACCCCCCCTGAGCCCTTCTAGTCCACACACGCGGCCGGAGAGAGAGAGAGAGCGAGACAGCTGTGACCCGCTGCTCACCTGGCGACACAGGCGGATGTGCGAGGCACGAGCTTTGCAGGGGCGGACTACACTGGCGCCAACTTCCAGGCGGCGACCAATACAGCCTCCGCGGGCTTTGCGGGAGCCGTGGGTGCGCCGAGGAACCTCATCGTGCCCATTGGCTGAGAGAACAGGCTGAGTGGCTCCTCTCTGACTGATGAGTGAGGGCGTGTCTCTCGCCGGATCCAGAACAGCTGTCTCGTCTCACGTCTGCCGCAGCATCCATGCATGCATCCCCCCCGCGCACACACAGAGCGCTCCACAGTGGATGGAAGGTGGCCGCCCATATGTGTGTGGATGGACCCAGATCACACATGTCAAGAGAGAGATTTCAAAAATCTCTCTCTCACACATGTCATGTATGCGAAAGGTAGGAGTTAGTTGTGAGTCACTGTCAGATTTCATGTTGTTATCTCATTCTTAACAAACGAAAGAAAGACAGTCAGCCGTTCCCTGTGGAAAAAGAAAGAAAGAAAGAAAACAGACAGCCCAAGGGAGGGATGGGAGGACACGCCGCCACCACTCATTTTATAAGGAGAGGAGTGTGGTGCTAGCCGTCGCCCACCCTAACCCTTGGGCGTCTGCCTCTTTCTATCTCCCTTCGCAGTCCCTCGCCGATTCTCGCTGCAACCCTCATGCCAACTCGCTGTGGAGTGATGTGCATTTCCGTTTTCTTCTTCTTCTCCACCCACCACGTTGTGTGTATGCTTGCGGCCGCAGGCCGACGGCTCCGCCTGCGATGCCCGAGTGCTGGCCGCCGGTGTAGCACCACGATCACGAGCGACGAGCCGGCTGTCCTGAGCGAGACCAGAGTATTCACCGCTGAAGACGTCACCGCGTTTGCGCGGCTGACAGGCGACGACAACCCGCTACACGCGGATGTGTCGTTCGCCTCTTCGGAGCGGTACGGCGCGCGCGTGGTGCATGGGATGCTCTACGCGTCCATGTTTGGCGCCATCGTCGGCGTCCGCTATCCGGGCAGCGTCTATATCTCGCAGAGCCTCTCATTCAGACGGCCCGTCTTTCTCGGCGACGCGGTGACGGCAACGCTGACGTTGCGCCGCTCGGGGGGCGGCGGACGGCTGCTCGACTTTGAGACGACCGCCGCCAACCAGCACGGCGAGCTCGTAATCTCGGGCGATGCGCGCGTGTTGCTGCCACGCGCGGCGCGGCGCCCAAGACAGGCTGTGGCTGACCCAGATGGCATCAGCCGCCCGTCAGGCTAGCATTCCGAGATTCACGATATGATTGTTGTGAGCGCGCCTAAGCACACCACGTTTTCCTCTGGGAGGGTTTGCCTAACGATTGCTCTAGTGCATCTACATTCCATCCGAAGAATATATTTCCTCGAGGGCCGCGGGAGGGGCCGCCGGACAAGAGACATATTCATCACCGCACACCGGCTATCCCTCCTCGGCGCGGCCCGGCACCCGCCCCTCCCTCACGGCCTTGCTGAGCGCGTTGCACAGCGCCTGCCTGTCTGCCAGCCTGCTCACACCGTGCTCGTCCCGCAGCGAGGCGAGGAAGCTCTGCCTCGAGGAGGTCGCCGCGGCTGCGGCCGCCTCGAGGGTGAGCGAGGGAGGCAGCGCCGCCGCGAGGTGCCCGAGGCCCGCGCCTTCGCAGAGCCCGCGCAGTCCTCCGCTGACAGCCGGCAGCTGCGGCGCCACCTCCCGACCAGCCGGTGGCGCCGGCCTGCCCGACTCGACCCACCCGTTGAGCCCGCCTCGGAGCCGCGCCATCCGAGTCAAGGGCAGGCCCAGCTCGAGCAGGAAGGCCATCACATACACCTCGCGGCCCGCCGTTATGCCTGCGTTGGGCCCGGCAGTGTTTGCAAAGAAGCAGAGCTCGCCTGCCTGCGAGCCAACCAACTCGTCGACGAGCGCCTGGACCTTGCCGCGGCTGAACATGAGCGTCGACTGCGGCAGAGACTCCGCGCCCGGCAACGAGGCCTTCTGAAACTCCGGGGCGTCGCGCGCGTCGAGGAGCCGGACGCCCTCCCCCGCCCGCAGGCCGTCGACCTGCTCGGGCGTGAGCCACCGCACCTCCTCGTCCGGGAGTGTGGCGCCCTTGCCGTATCCCACTCCGACCATTGCGCTTTCCTAGCGCTTTCCTAGCTTACGCCGGGTCGGTCGGCCCTAGCTGACGCCGGGTCGGTCGAGACGGAGCCCTAGCTGACGCCGGTCGGCCGTGAGTCGAGGTGTGGCAACCCGTTCAGGAAGAAGTCACCCGTGTCCCCGCCGCCCCGCTACCCCGCGCGCGCCCATGACGGCGCCGTTGGTTGGTCGAAGCGCCCATGACGGCGCCCATGACGGCCTAGTTGGTCGAAGCGCCGACCTTTAGGTCTAACAATACATACACAACCCCCTCTCCATTTTCTCCCAGCCAGTACCGTCGGGTCTCTATTTTAAGATGAGGTTTAAACAGCAATAGATCCGGGTGTAGTGCCGGATCAATTCCTGGAGCCAGGGGGACCGATTCGCGCTTGCCAAGGGACCAATTGCTGGAAGCCCGCGCAGCCTGCGCTCCGGCCGGCAGAGGGCTTGCGACCCGTGGCAGGGTGACAGCCCGCCGGTGGGCGAGCCAAACTCTGGCGGAGGCAGCCCGCTCAGCCCCAGGCGCCCCTCGAACCGGAGGGTGGTCTGCCGCCGCTGCGCGTTGGGCGCGCAGAGGGCGGGAGACATCAGCTTCGCGCCACAGGTGACCTGGGGGACCGATTCTCGGCAAGTTGGCAGGACGGGCACTGTGAAGGATCGATTGCTGTACAACGAGGGACCAATTCCGTGAGGGCTGGGTATCGATTAGGCCGCTTGAGGGCCGGATCTATTGCTGTTTACCTCATCTTAAAATAGAGACCCGACGGTAAGTAAGCTAAAAGTACGTACACTGAAAATCCTGCAAAGGTAGGTGGGGACGTGACTGTCCTCGCCCCAGCCCTAGCTAGCTTGGGATGTCGGTTTTATCAATTCATTTATGTCGCTAGGGGAAACCCAAAGCGCGGAGCTAACCCTCGGAGACCTACCTAGCTCCGAGTGACCGTGTTTGTTATGACCCCCCCCGATGAACACACCAGTGAGGGTGGGCGAGACGATCGAGGGGTCCCGTACCATGCGGAATCGGCCCTATCCGGTGCTCAAGTGCTCAAGCTCCGAGTAGAGGGGACGTTCTGCAGTTAAGGGGAAACCCGGTACACGGTACCAACCCTCGGAGACCCGTGTTATGGCCCTGCGACCGCGCACCCCCAGGGCTCTCAGCCCGCGCAGCCCGATGCCGAGCATCCGGCCCGGTGTGGGTGCGCTTCTTAGCTCCCCGGCCCTGGATGTGAGGTTAACGACCGCACTCCAAGTGCTCCAAGTGCCCCGCATGACGAAGAATAGTTGTTGATCTAACTACATCGGCTGTAGTGAATGAACCGACCCTCTCAATCTGTCACTCTCTCTAACCACAGAGAGCGCTGCTGAGACGGACAAGAAGACGGGATGCGCCGCTAGCAGAAGGACGAGAACGGCGGGGGAGCGCGGATAGGACGGTTTTCTTCATTCCCACCTTCACGCGCGAGAGCAAGCCGACGCCAAACACAACCTGGCAGAACAACATCTACTTTGTGGGTTGAGCGCTCCCTTACAGCATGAGCGCGGCGCAGCCGCATCAGGCGCAGGCGCAGGAGTCGGTCGGCGCGGCGGCGCTCTACGGCTCCCACGCCTTCCAGCCTCACCCCGGCCAGCACGGCCCGGCGCCGGCGATGAAAGTGGTCCTCTCTATGTAAAGGGGACGCACGGAGTACGGAGAGCGTGCCGTTCCACCAAGACCGAGCGCTACGCGCTGACACGCGTGACTAACTACACGGCTACGCGGCAAGGCCCGTCGGACTATACACGACACAGACGTCACCCGCCTCCGTGTGCACAACCCACAATCCATTGCGGTCAGCCGAGACGTCATCAATGTCGACCGTCAACACGTCAGGCGTCGTCTGCTCGGGCGTGGTGGATTTGCTGCTCGGCAGGTTCCGGCGCCATCTCGCAGAAAAGATAGACATGCCGAGGATGATAAAGACGAGGCCGGAAATGCCGATGACGATTGTCTGTGGCTGGTACGAAGTTTGGCTGAACGCCGGCGAGCAATAGCGCATCACACGTCCACGCCTCTCCACGCATGGAGGCAAAGATGGCGGCGCCATTTGCGGAGTCACCACAGGCGCGCTCTGCGGAGTCACCACGGGCGGCTGCGGCGGCTGTGATGGCGGTGCGGATGCCGAGAGCAGTGGGTCGGAAATTTGGCTGAGCACCAGGTACGCAAGCCCACAGGGCATGGTCGTTTGGCTAGGGCCGCGGCGTGCGAGCAGCTCGAGGGAGGCGACGTGTGACACGGGATTCGTTCGATCCCGAGAACCGGCCGAGATGTAAGAAGAATTTTGTAAACAAGAATGTTACAACCACCTGCCTGGCACGAAACTGGGCACGGCCGCTCCCTCCCTTGGGTTGTCTGTTTTGTTTCTTTCTTTCTTTACACTGGGCACGTTGTTGGGAGGCGGGTCCACAGCCGCCGTCCCAGGCGACGAGTCCGGGCAGTGCACGCAGGAGCGATCGCACACCCTTTGTAGACTACGTCGTTGAATGAATATACGAACCCAATTCCCAATAATTGGGATCGAGTAAAGACACACGAGAGTGTGAATGGGTAATGACACACAAGAGTGGGAGATCAATCCCCGGGCAGCGACGCCCCCCCCCGATTGAGACCAGGGGAGGTCGAAAGCGGCAACCCGGCTGCCCGAAACGTGAATGACACAATGCGAGATTGGACCTCGCGGGCGCGGGATCGCTCACGCAAAGCGGGCACCGCACACGACGTGGGCGGTCTGGCCGCGCACATTCATAATCTCGTCGCGAAGTTTGAAGAACCGCGTCGAGCTCGCGAGCGGCTTCGTAAGGAAGTCGCTCACATTGCCTTCGCCCTCGATCCAAGGGACGCGAATCTCGAACTTCTCCACCATGTCGCGCACGAAGAAGTGACGCCGCTCGACGTGCTTCATGCGACCGTGGTGTTCGGGATTGTAGGCGACGTCGCGCGCGCCCTTGTTGTCGGTGCCGACCTCCGAGGGACCGTCGACGGCGCCGGGGTCGAGG